TTCTACAAGCAACTTACCTCATATAGATTTTAGAGGTGCTTTGCTAGGGTAGGCTGAAATGAAGGGAGGAGAAAATACTTAACTTTACATGAAATATATAGTGCTAACTATTTTTAGAGGGCTATCTTAGTCTAGGAACTAACATGATTGTAGTACTTTTATTATCAGAGAAGGACAGGAAAAGTTATACACAAATCTCTCATTTCACTCAAGTGTTAAAACGTACCACTTAGCAAATACAATTGAGCAAGGCTAAACAGGGAATGATTAGTTTGCTTTATGAAAATATTCTGTAGGTTCTTCTTGTTGCATGTAATGAGTACACCCAAGGAGCAATTTATAAGAGCTGAACCTCAAAGCTGTTGGATCTAGCTCAAAAACATGTTCCATTTTGTCTAGGCTGTTAAAAAATAGTTTCTATTATTTTATGGTGATATTTTTTGTTCTTAATAATCACACATATATAAATATTTCTTAATGCTCTTTATTACGTGCAAAATAGCTTACATGGAGGTTGAAATCTTACAGGAACTAAAAGAAGTTACAAAAATGTTTTATAACAATTACATATTATATAAAAAGAAATATATTGACAATATTAAGCATCTAAAGCATTGATTTATAATACACGTATTTGATCCACATGTGTAAAAAAAGGTAGTAATTGCACAGATTTCAAAAGGTAATAGAGCAAAGTTTTTCTATAGGAAATGAGTTAATGGGTCTATTGTGCATGAAATCCCTTTTTGTTAAATGAAACAAGCCCATCGGTCTTTATTGATCCTTTTACTTGAGATTGGTTTTGCTTCCTAGTTTCCTTTTATTTAATCAAAACACTATGAGACTGTAGAAAACTACCTAGCCTAAATTAACTTGAATTCACACTGCCACAGAATATCCTGTCATAAGCACATCCTCAATAAAATTTTGGAAACAGCCTACTAATTAGGAGGGAATGATGATAAAATGAAGTCCTTTTTAATAAAAGCAATAAATTATTTTTACAGAATAAAGAATTTGCATTGGGAAACATTCAACATTGATTACATGGAAATCAATTACACAAATAGGTGTGTGCACAGATATACATATACAAATACTTCCCTACATGTCATTTCAGAGGGTAGCAAAGTGAAAATGAAAATTTTCCTAATTTTTAACTTTGTTTTCTAAATGTTTTGTTTTGTTTTGTTTTGTTTTGCTTTTTCTTCCAGTACCAGGAATCAAACCCTTGCACTTGCCAGGCAGGCACTGTGCCGCTGAGCTAAATCTACAGCCCCTTGTTTTCTAAATGTAATGAGATATTTTAAATACAAAGATAGAGCTTTCCAAAATTGTAAAGTTCCCAGATTACCGTTAGGAAACTATTTCTGAACTAAGATGAATAAATTTAATAAGAAAATATATGATTTCCTCATAAACTCTCCCTTTTTCTAAATACACACATACATATACACAGACATATCTATCTATCTGTCTGTCTATCTATACACACACACACACACATATATATACCACTAAGAAATATTTTCAATTCTTCCTTCAAGATAAGGAACTATTTAACTGAACATAACAGGAAAGTCAACGTAAAGTTTATTTTAAAATATATACATGAATTGGAGGGACAGCCTTTTTACTATATTAATTGTTCTGTATATGGAACAATATGCTAACAAGACAGTAAGAAAAAAACCACAATCATCTGATTTTGATCCCTCAATAATGAAACTGACAGAGAAATTTTTTCTTTCATGAGATTACTTTTCCTCTTGGAACTATTACCTGTATAACAACCATATTTCTCATTACTGTTGTGCTAAAGCTATTGCTAAAGCATTGTTACAGATAGTACAAACTGAGCATCACTTACTCAAGCATCTGAAACCCAAGCTGCTCCCAAACCAGACATTTTTAAGCATCCACATTATTTCACATTCGACCTCATATTAAGGGGTCTGAATCAAAATGCAAATATTTGAGACATAGTTTATTCAGCATCCTCAGGAGGATAACAACACTTACAGCACCCTTCGGCTGCACTCTGTCTTTTCATATGTGCCTAGATACTCCCATGTGAGAAGTCCCGGGGAGAGCAATAAAATGTCACATGTGCAAGTTGGACAATACTAGTGGGGGATTTTCCACAGTGCTAGATGTGAGGCTGCTATCTATGTTCATCATTCACTGAAGGCTCTTTAGCTACTGTGTCATGTGAAGATATTGTTGAACATGTCAAAAGGATGGCAGATATCTCTGTAGTTAACAGTGATAACAAAAGGAACTATTTATGTTCCTATAGCACAGCTAAACCTGTAAGAGGTGGGGTGTTGTAGAGGGTTTTAGGTCATGAGGGGTACGCCTGAAAAGGAACTAGGGAGCCCAATCCTTCTCATTCTCTCTGTGCTCCCTAACTTGGGATGAGGGGAGAAATTTACCCCACTATACACTTCTACCATTGTGCTTCACCATAGGCCAAAAGCTGCAGCTTCCGTTCATCGTGGACCTCTAAACTGTGAGCCAACAAGTCTTTTTCACTTTATACTTTGATTATCTAGTGTATTTGTTATAGTGCTAGAGAGCTGACTAAAACAGAAGATGCCATCACCCAAAATGAGAACCTGCACATGATATAGTAAAAGTGCATGACGGGAAGAGTTGAAGAAACTAAATTCAAGATAGAACAAAGAATTCTGTCAGTTTATAAAATCAAAGAGGAAATTCTGAGTCAACAAATACTATTCTGTTAATAAGGCAGAAGACTCTGGAGCAAATATTTTTGAAAATCCTTCAGCAAAATACCTTCTCATGCCCAGAGGATCCACTCCTGGTCACTGAAATGCTTTTGATGTTTCTTCTAACTTCAAAAAAGAAAAAGAAAAAGGAAGTAGTGCAAAGCATTATAACTTAATCAAAATACAGCACTGTAGGTGGGTATGGAAAACAACCATTGCTTATTTTTATTGTTGATTAAGAGCAAGTACAGGTAGCCTGGTGATGCAACTATGCTACACTGTTGCTCTGAAATTCCTTCGTTTTTTACTGTATTAATGATATATCTCCTTTTTACGGTTAACTACTTTTGTGTGGCTAAATGGAAGAAAATGATTTTTTATTGGTAATTGCATATATATCATCACATAATGGCTATCTAGTGATCATTCATACAAACTCAGACAGGAATGAGGAGAACCTGAACAATGGCACACTGTCCGTGTGAGTGGCTAAGACAAGGACACCTTTGCTTCACGATGGGGCCCGTGGAAAATTATTTCAGGCTCTGTGCACAATATGCATGTAAAACATAAATGAATTTTGTCTTTACTCTTGGGCATCTTCCTCATGATAGCTCATTATTTCTACGTAAACATTGCAAAATCTGAAATCTGGTCAAGTATTTCCGTATCGTGAAGGTAACATTTAGCAAATCCATCAAAACAACATTGGCAGGTCAGTACCTTCCACACAAAATTCATGGAAATTAAAAATGACAGTTCTGACTTGGTCTTGACATAATGAATGTCTTGATACTTAAATATTATCTAGCTAAATATTGTATGTCAGAAAAGATTTTAATGTATTTTAGGAATTCACAGTTTTAACATTTATGAAATAACTAGGATAAACTTACTCTTTTTTCTTAGTCATTTTAACTATTTTGTGATAAAACTTTAAATTGTCTCATGTTTTACAAATATTACATGGAGTCCTTGAAATGACTGACAAAAAGAGGTATGTGAAAAACTGATTAAAATTGTTTCCTTAAGTAAATTATTTGAAGTATGTTTATTTCCCCAAGGTGAAGTTAAAACAACTTCAAATTGCATTATAAATTTGGGTTGCTTGGAGAATCTTTTTTGCCCATATCTTATACTCTGAGTGCCTACTTTGAAGATAACAATATGCAGTGTATTAGCTATGGTTATTCTCCTATTATTTTGTTTTGAAATTTTATTTCCATAAAATAAAAAATAATAAATTTGGTCTGCATGTGCTTTTGAATCAAAACATTATGCATAGTTTCATATATTTGTATAAAGTATTGTTTAATTAATTCTACTTCCATAGGTTTTATGTGTAGAAAGAATCAGATAAAATACAAAGAAAACCTCATAGAAAAATAATATTTTGTAGATAATTATATAAATTTTTTATATATGATGTTAAGGAACTCTGGATTTAGTCCCCTTTCTCTCTCCACGCTCTTAATTTTCTTCTTCTCTTTATCTCTTTCCCCCATTTTTGTTTTCATTATTATCACTTTTATTTTAGTTCACATTTATAATATATAAGGTTATTTTTACTGAAACATTAAATACATATGACTTAATGAGCAAAAGCATGCAGGTAGAGCTATCAATAAAAAATAAAGTATTTAAATCCAGAGTTCCTTAAATTGTTCAGTTTTGTCCTTTTCCTCCCCAGCAGTTCCAGGCTAGAATAGTTAGTTAAAATGCAACACATGACACACAAGGTGCTATGCGATCTCTCCCACAGTACTTCCCTCTCCTCTGCAGCCAGTGACATCACATAGCAGCCTTGGAATCCATTACTAACATCCCAAGGATGGGATGACTTCACTTGCTTAACATAGGTGAAAAAATAACCTCTTAGCTCATAGAAATATAGTCAGATTTGTACACTGGACATGGACTAACAGTTTTCTTTGATGCTCTGTGAGATGCCAGGAAGACTGTGAACGATGCCAGAAGGCATAGCATTGGGTAGAACATTTTTGATTTTTAGTTCTATATGATTACCAGGAGATTTGGTTAAATATCAGTTTCAGGCCGTAAGTCAACGTGAAAAGCTTAAATTCTAATTATGATATTAAATTAGCTTTCCATTTATCTTGAGTGATGATAATAAATTTAAACAATGACGCCATGCACAAGGACCAAACACGCATTTACTATAAAAATATTCAAGTGGTTGTAAAAGGAGAGGTGAGGCAACGATTTCCCTGTATACTCATCCTTTGGTTCCAGTATTTAGCAATGGATAGAAAATCATCTTTCATCTCTCTCCCGTAGCTGCTCTTCTGCTTTACACCGTCACTGGACAATTTTCATGAAAAGTCAGTAATAGCAAAATTTCCTTCTTAAGTGTTACATTAAATTATACGGCTTAACCTATAGGAGTAATGTGATTTTTACATTTAAATAACTTTTACATGTCTCAGTATGGTTCTTCAGTACTTGCAATTATTAATGAATATTCTTAGAAATATAGACAGAATTATATGTAGTGTATTTCTTCAAATTACACTGCAGTTTTTTATAATAAACCATATATGAATTTCTGATCATGATACACAATTTTTATACAATAAACGTTAGTACCTACTTGCATTTTATGCTTTCCTATTTGTTAGTAGAGTTGGAATCATTGTGTTCCAAATACCTAAGTACTGTCAAACTCTAAGAGGATTTTTATTTTAAATTAATTTTATCTTTGAGCGGCGTTGAAACTGGTTCTCACTATGTAGTGCAGGCTGGCCTCAAACACAGGGAGATTCTCCTTCCTCAGTCTCCTGCGTGCTAGGATTACATGTGTCTGCCACCACACCCAGCTCTAAAAGGATTTTTAAATTTATTTCAAAGGTAATAAGTACACCTCAAATATATATTCTTAGTGTTTTCTTTTTCGGTTTTTTTTTTTTTTTTTGGTTTTTTTCCCGTACCGGGAATGGAACTATTTCCTTGTGCTTGCCAGAGCTGGGTTTTTGTTACTTTTACTTTGATTTAGTCGTTCATTTTCTCTCCTCTGTGTACTACTTTTCTTTAACTCTGCAATCTGTAGCAACACTATTTTCTTATTTTTGCTTGTTTCTTCCACTTTTCTAATAGCTCCTTTTGCTTGTTTTTCTCCCTGTATTTCTCTTTCCTTCGGACATTCCCACCTTCTCTTATGTTGACCTTGTCTTACCTATTTGGTTTCTTTGGTTCTTACTTTAGCTAGCCCCTTGTTTTCTCTCGCTCCTCTCAACCTTACAGATAAACAGGTAAACACGGGGTTCTGAGAAGCTCACAGCATTCTTTAATCCCTAGTTATACGTCTGTCTCTCCTCCTACGTCCTGCCTCTGCTCCCAAAAGTATTTTATTATCAACCCTTCGCTCCAAATATGAAAGACCTCTTACAGAATATGACTGCAGACCATTGCGTAAATTTTTACTTATTCTTGTTTCTCCTGTTTAGCTCTCCTCGTACTTCTACTCACTTCTCCCATCCCCCATCTCCTCCCTGCTCTTCCGCGTCACACCCGCTGATGATAAAGATGACTGATAAACGGTGAAAGTGTGAGAAAAGGTTCAACTCACAGAAGCGATGTGTGGTCAGATCTGTTGATGCTGTTATAACCAATAGTAATTCTGTCCTCTCAGTGCAGTGACAGGCTCCAAACCATTTAAATTGAAGGGCAGAAGGCTTGAAAGTATCTCTGGACAAACATATCATCAGAAGAAAACATATCACCAGAGAAAAGAGTCTACCCAAAATGAATCTTCAGATTAACTACAATTTCTGCTCACACTAAATGTGTACTGTCTCCCTCAGTCTCTCTCTGTCTCTGTCTCTCTGCCTGTCTGTATCTATCTATCATCTATCTATCATCTATCTCTCTATCTATCATCTATCTATCAATCATCTATCTTTCTATCTATCTATACATACATACAGGATCTTGGAAAAAACAAATCCCTCAAAGTCTCCCCATCAATACATGGACAAGTTAAATGAATACACATTTCTCAGAAGTACAAATGACGAATACACACATAAAAAATCCTCAACGTCTTTGATCATAGAAAAATCAAAGTGGAACCTCAGAAATAATGATCAATGCTGCTTTGCTTGCAATGAAAAAGGAACTCTTTTTTGTTAGTGAAGCCATGAACTGGTACAATGATTATAGAAATCAGAATGAGATTTCTCAAAGAATTAAAAATAGAAATTGAATTTGACCCAGCTATTCCCCTTCTACACATCTTCCCAAAGGAGTTAGCAACATTGTATTACAGTTGCACATGTGCATCAATATTATAGCAGCACAACTCAAAATCTTCAAATCCTGGAAGCAGACTGTATGTGGACAGCGGATGAATGGGTAACATTTATACATTTATGCACAATGACTACTTGACTATAAACAAGGATGTATTTGAGACAGTTATAGAAAATGGATACACCTGGAGAACTGAAGTGAAATAAATCAGACACACAAGCTTCATTACCATATAGTTTCTCTCATTTGAGTAATTCAAAGTACAGATAAAGATCAAAATAAAAGATAGATAAATGTAAATAGGAAGATACTTTGCAAACAGAAAGCCTCCAACAGACTGAGGGTGGGGAAGAAGATGTAAAAAGAATTAAGAGGTGTCCTGTATATAACCAAATACCAACAATGAAGGCAAACATTATATGTCATAAACATGAAATAATAATAACATTAATAATGCAAATGGGGAAAATGAACCTAGAAATAGAGGGAGGATGTGGGTGGGTTAATGGAAAGGAATAAGAAGGAATCGAGCTATGTCATGTCCATGCACTTAATCCCTAAAATGAATGTAAATTTCATATACTGCAAATATGTACTAGCAAAATAAAATATTAAAAAATACCATTTGAGGGGCTGGGGATTTAACTCAGCGGCAAAGTGCCTGCCTGGCAAGCGCAAGGTTGTGAGTTCAGTTCCCGGTACCAGAGAAAAACCAAAAAAAAATAAAAATAAAAATAAAAAAATAAAAAGCACCATTTGAATTAACATGGATAATACTGTTTTTACATGCTCCACAAGGTCATTCGATTTAGAAGAATTTTTATGTAAGAATATTCTTCCATGTGCAGCTCAGTTCCTCCTAATGGGTAAGTCAAGTACATGTAATAATTCATGGGCATAATTATTTTATACAATGTGAAATTTATGCAATGAGAATTATTTTCAACTAGAATAAAGGCAAGATATTTTGACCCAGGCATATTTGCATTAAATTGCCCTTCGTTATTCTCCAGAAAATGTTAATGTCTGCAGTAAAAATAAGTTATCTAATGAAAATAATTTTCTGATACATTACCACAACGGATTTGAATTGAGAATAATACTGTCACAGTTACAAAGGATGTATATGCTCAAAAATTTAGCGAGAAAACAGTAAAATACCTTGCTTAGAAGTGACAATGGAAGTAATAAAGATGATGTTAATAATAAAAATTATTGTAACTTTTAGAAATAATCCTGTCACAACAGATATCCCTCTACTTGAATATCATATGTTAAATGATAATCATGTATGTACATATTGAAACTTGTTTAATGTTCATAAAATCTTCTGTCTGGCCAATATACTTGGCACTTTGCAATAAAATGTCATTGATCCTCTCATACAGAGGGTAGGAACTGTGATTTTCTTTGATAAAATAAAATGAAACCGATCCTGTAGTGTTTTGGAATATAGATCTCAAGAGATTTCTTAGAACTTCACGTTTGTTTATCTAATAGTTCCTTAAGATCATGAAATAATAGTGGAGGCTATCAGGTAAATAAAGCATGAGAAGTCACATGGCAGCACCTGTCACATGTGTTAGTAAGACCATCTTACATGTGCCATTTCAACTGACCCTCTAGCTGAGAATAATGAGTCTGCAAATGCAGCAGAAATCAAAAGAAGCATTAAGTCATTAAGCTTAAATTTTATGGTTGCGTGATATGCAAGAAGTGATAATAGATAGGAAAGAACCTTGAATTTCATTAATTTTACTTTGCTTATTTTGATGTCTCATAAGCCTTTACTTTTTGATGCAGAATACTGAATTTGTTTTCTAAATATCAATAACACAGCTTAATAAAATTATTTGAGGCAAAATATCTACTTACTGTATTAATTTAGCATGGGCATGAATCTATAGTAATAATGCACAAAATTTATTTTTATAACTAAAGCAAATAAGTAATTTCAACTTAAAAAGACTTTCTATTGTGTCATTTCATTCATAAAAATAGTTGAAATAGATGGGAGGTTTGTAGAACACTTTCCAGTTCAAGTTATATAAACATAATGTTTTTCAAACAATTTTAAAGTATATAAGAAGGACTGATATGATTCAATAGAATGTAGAATTCAATGGTGAAAAATTTATATAGATTTTTTAAAAGTAGTTTTCAGAAAAATTGTTAATATATATAAGGACCAGATGACCTTCAGCCTATTATTAGCATTTTATGCTAGCACTTTACAGTAGTTAAAATGACAGATTTGCATGTGTTAATGGTATTTATTATTATACATTATTGTTAACTGAAATCTGTATTTCCTTTACATTTCCTTAGTTTTACCTAATTTCTTTTCCTTTTTTGTTCCAGAATTCCATTCAGTATTGAAATTAGCCATAAATAAATACCCGCATCTCTAATGAGTAAGTTAGATGATAGGAAACCTGGAAGTGCAAACTTAATTTCTGTGTAATTATTTCCAGAATGTAAAACTTACTTCACTTTTGGACCTGAGGCTGGTAGGTGAGAGTTAGGTAAAGAAAGTGCTTGATAGACTTAGAATTGCTGGTACTTTGAGACTGGTAAGTGAAATAAACCAGACCCACAAACTTAAGCATTGTGTGGATTCAAATATACAAAAAATCATAAAATACCCTAATTAATATAGCCCAACCAGGACTTTTTGGACAGGTGTCCAAGAGTACATAAACTTCTGGTACCTTCTTTGCATTCTCCCAAAGCCACGTTTCCTGTGATGAATCTGCCTCCTCCAAGCTGGTTCCAGACACCCACTCTCTGGGGCATCTGCACATTAAGGTCTCTAACTTCTTCAGGCTTTTTCATATTCTTTCTTCCTGGGTGCACTTCTTTGCATTTACACATAAGACATGTATGAGTGTGTTTTGTGGGTCTGTGAGTCCTCCCAAATACCTGAGTCAAAAAAATATTTAAAGCTCCCCAGGAAAGTAAATAATGCATATTGTAAGTGAAAGCAGCAATGCAAAGCATATAAACTGAAGTTGAAAAAAATGTGTGGGAAACGAGAGATGTTTACTCATACGGGGGAAATATGAAGTAATTGTGTAAAGATCTAGAAGAAAAAACACAGGAATGCAAAAAGACAGCAGTAACCAAAGCAACTTAAATAATGACTTTTTTCAAAGTTAATAAAAAGAATAAATTAAAAACTCAAGAAATTCATTGAAAATGAAAATGGACAAATAACAAGACACACATTTGAAACATAGATATCAGTGGCAGAGATAATCTTAGAATTTAGCGATCAATGCATATGATACTAGAGGTATAAAATAAAAAATTCCATGTACTTCCCCTCAGAAACTATGTGAAGCACTGGATAACAGAATATGTTCTTTAGAATGCAGAAACAGTCATTATTTTATATTCATTCAAATTATCCTGAAAATTATGAGGTGAAATAAAAATATTCGTTTAAAAAAGGCTAAGAAAATTCATTACCACCAATATACACTATATATCCACTAAATATTTTCAAGTAAATGGAAAATAATTAATGGAAAATCAGATACAATGAAAGGAATAAAGATACTACGACATATGTAGAGTAAGATATAAAGCATATTTTCAATCTTTGCTATCTTAAATGGCAATTTTTAAAAATAAATTAATAATGCTATGTTATGTACTTTTTCACAAAGAAGTCACAACACAGAACGTGAAAAGGAAATTGAAGTATATAAATATATATTTTTTTAATACATGGTATAAAAATGTTAAGGCACACTCTGTTGATTAAAAATACGTTGTGGAGACTCAGAAAACCACAATAAAATTGCAAAGAGGTATAAAACTAAGGTTAAGTGACTTCTGAAAGAATGCAAAAATTACGCTATCTGACAAAAAGATGTTAGAAAAACAGGAGCAAGTGGTGAGACAAATAGAAAATCTAGGAAGATAGAAACTTGAACTCAAACCTATAAATAATTTAATTAAATTTAAATAATCCAAGTCAAAATGAAAAAAAATTAATCATATAAAAAGCAAGTTATTTGAAAGTTAGAGGAAATCTTCATTAAATATAAAAAATAGTTTAAAAATAAAAGGATGAACAAATGTAAGATGATACTATTAAGAATGGAAGGGATTAATAACAAATGTTTGCTTAGGAGAAAGGATATAGTTATAAAGCATAGTAGTGATATTAAGTGATATTTCATCCTTAAGACAAAAATAGACCAAAAAAATATAAAGAGCTTTAAAATATATGAAACAATTAGTGACATGGTTGAAATGATACATAATAAGATTATCAGTAAAAGTGTCCATACATACCTCAAGTAGGTAAATTTAAAAGGGTGAATGAAATGTTAATCTTCATAAACTATAGGTTAGACCATGAATATTTCAAATTTTAAAAATTAAAACCAGTAGACTGTAGTTTTTGGCCACAAAAAAGTAAAAAC